GGGAGTTGAAGTCCGGACATCTTCAAGTTGCCAAGGTTGAGAAACACTGGTCTAATGGTTTAAACCAGGGATGTCCAACCTTAGCAACTTTAAGACTTGAGGACTTCAACTCCCAGAATTCCCAGATAACAAGACTGGCTGGAGAATTCTGGGAGTCGAAGTCCACAGGTCTTAAAAGAGGCCGAGTTTGGACATCTTTGGTTTAAACCCACATTGTTGTTGTTTTGTCTTGTGGGGAAAAACAACCGGAATAATTCTGTCCTATCTTCTACATGACTCTTGACAAAGTTATCATGGCATCTTGAAGGCTTCTCTTCTTTGCAGCTCAACGACATTCAACCCTCCCATTCTTTAGAAAGAAATCTCTGACCAAGCTGCAGTTCATCGCTGTCCTTCCTAAAATGGGATGTCCACCATTAGACACAAGGTTTGGGGTGCATCATGAAGAGGAACCAGAATGCTTTTTTTTAAAAACTTCAATGCTTTGATTTCACTCCACTTTCTCTTTTTATGTTTCCATCTGGTAGTCTGAATATTTGTTTCTTTTTTGCTAAAACAAAAACAAAACCCCTTTCACCATTATTCCCCTAATGACATTACAATATGTGGAACGTTGTACTGGAAATGTTATGAAGATGTGATTTGCTGCAAGAGGCCACTTCAGGATGATCAGGAAGAAAGAAAGGAAGTTGGAATTGGATACACAGCAACCTGCTCCTTCTCATACATCACCTGGACATGTTTTCCCCCCTTTTTCTTCTAGCTTACGTTGTCCCTCTTCAAAGTCAATCCTGAAACTTCTTCAGTAACATCAACCGTCTTTTCCCAGACTCCCACTCCATAAATGACATAAATTGATTTTCCAGCTGATTCTCCCTCCTTTGAGGGCAATCTAGCTGTCGAGAATACACTGTAGACTAATTATCATTATGATGTATGTGTTTGATGCAGCTCCCGAATGCCGCTCTCTTCCTGTTGCGTCTGAACTGCGTCCACCCCTTCTCTCTTGTCCTCTCCCTTTCTCTCCATCCCTTCCCATGGCAGATGGTGGAGATGAACTTCCCCTGACACCTGCAGGTGCCGTTTTGATTCCTAGCCTGCAAGAAACTTCATATCATCTCAAGGCAAAGGAAGGGTGGGGGAGGAAGCCTCAACCTCTCCCCACTCCTGCCGGGACATTGCTTTAGTTCACCCTTGTAGGCCTGGCCAGATAAGGGTTGCAGGAAGCCTTTTCTCCTCGGGCCTCCGCATCTCTTCTAGACCACATCCTTTGGAAGGAGCAGGCGGCCGGCCAGAGAGCCCTCCGGCTTTTCCTCAGCTACGAAGCCAGGCTGATATAGGACCCGTCCTGCTCAGCTAATCACGGGGATTTTGTCCAGCTGCTAAAAGTCAACCCAGCCAGTTCCGGCCACCTCCTGCATGGATCCATCTGACTGGACGTTTCTTCCAAGCCTCCATGGGTCCAGCTTTTACAACCAGCTTTGGCTCGTTAAAGTCATGCTTTGATTTCTACTGAGGCCAGCGACACATAGACATGGAGTTCACATGGATGTTCCCTGTTGCCGGCCACTCCAGAAGGAATGTGGATAAAATGGGCTGTAAAATGAATTCAGGGCGGCTTGCTGGGGCTTTTGCACTGACCTTCTTGACCAACTGGGCTGTTTTTGAGAAAAAGAGACGGGAATATGCCCGAGGATAGTCAAGCCAAAGAGTTCTGGCCATGAAGTAGAACTTTGCTTTTAAAAAAATATATTAGTATCTCTATCTATCTTTCTTGCAGAATAAGGGATTTGCTGCACAGCAGGCTGCAAAATACACCCAACACTCCAGTGGAAGTTATTAAAAGAGAAAGCAGAGGATGGTGGGCTGATGTGGGCTGCTGGGCCTGGAAATGCCCCCCGTGTGATGAATGTAGAGAAGCAAAACCTCTTCCAAATACTTTGAATCGGGGCTCTGGCCCAGCAGCCATTGGGGAGGCCGCGTGAGGAGGGCCACAATCAGGCAGAAAGGTTGGCAAAGACCCTGGGCTTAGAGGGGAAAGGGCAGCCTTCACTCCAGAGGGCAGTAAGCGGGCTCCCCCTTCTGAAGTCAACAGGGGTTGGGACAGACCCAGGCACCGCCTGTCCCTCAACTCTTTTTGATTTCTGTGGAAACTGAGCAAGACCCGAGCACAGGGGGCGGACAGGAGAAGACTTCCAGAGGGACACGACAGCCATTTTTGAGCCCTCCGTGACTGACTTAAAGAGAGCGGCTCTGAAGATGAAACCTACTCTAGACCAGGGGTGGTGGCTTGCTGCCGGCATTACTGCCAGTTTGGCGCACAAAAAATTCCGCGTGCACATTTGCACCTCAAAAGGGAGAGGAGAATTACATTTCTGCAATGAAAATAGTTCTGCGCATGCGCAGAACCGAAAATCAAAATGGCGGCGCTGGAGGAGAACCAGTTCGGGGGCGTGGCAGGCCTGGGTCGCTGCTGGTTCTAGCAACCCAGGCTGCCAAGTTACTACCAGTTCGGCTGAACCTGTCCAAACTAGTAGGAACCCAGCTCTGCCCCAGACCCCTTTTAATTCAAGAAGGTGGGGGACGAAAGGAACCCCAAATGTTAAAAGCAGCCTGACGAGCGATATCTTTGTAACCCTTCTGAGATGAAGTTGCTTCGTATCCCTTGTTCCCCTGCTATTGTCTGCTCCTATCACTTCTTGCTGTCCGTGGCCCCCTTCCCCACCCAAGGGCTGATTGAAGACATTCGGCCGGTTCGGTTTGACCTGGTTACAATAAGCAAGTGGGTGTTCAAAGAGATGCATCAGCTTTTGTTCTCCTGCCCATCCCCTTGCAAGCCCCCTTTNAAATCATAAAAATAGCAATCAGGAAGACTCCCGGGCATTCAAACAAGCCATGACAGGGGCCCATCCTTACTATCAAGATACCAACTCAGTGGTAAAGACAGGTTTATTTTAAGTGCCTTGGGTGAGATTGCAGAGCTGGGCACCACAGCCGGAAAAAAGTCTCCTCCTGAGAGAGGACCCTTTCTTACCAATGGGGACTAAAGCAGGCCTTTCCTACCAGATAGAACAGGAGGGGTAGACTTGAAAAGAGATACGTCCATAAGTAACCCAGCCCCAACTCATGAAGGTCTTTCAAAATAACTAAAAGCACCTCAGATTGCAGCGCACAAAACAGAGCTCACATGCCAAATGACCAGCACCAGGAGAAGTCGCCGAATCCTCTTCAAGGGCAGCCCCACCATAGACCTCTTTGCAGTAATCCATTTGGGACTAGCGCATGGGTGACCGTGAACACCCCCTTCCTCCAGTCCAGGAATGGCTGCTCCAGGGATACAAGGCCAAACTATACAAAGGGGGTCCTTGCCACAGCTGCTACCTGCCCATCAAGGAGGAGCTGTGAGTCCAGAAGGACCCTCAGATGGCACAGAGGATCTACCCAGGCACGCCAGCCTCATCTAGAAGTTGAGATAGACACGGGAGTTCCAAAGAGCCACAAAGCTATTTGATCTTAGTAAGATTGAGCTGAGGCCTCTTGTTTCTCATCCAGGCCCCAGACATTGAGACAGGACCTCCACTCTATCACTTGGATGGCTCAGAGCAGAGAGATATAATTGGACATTATAGGCATCTACACGACACTCCACCCTGAACCAATGAATAGCTTCACCCGGCAACTTCATGTAACGGATTAAAAAAGAGAGAACATCGAGCTATAGCATCCCACAACAAAGGCCACCGGCTGGCTTCTCTTCCCCTACAAACACTGACCGGAAGCAGCCTTGAAAAAGCAGAACAGCCACCCTGCTGCCCAATCCTAATCCTTGCACCCAATCCAGAAGGATGCCATGATCAATGGCATTTAATTCCTGTTCCCTCTCTCTGCCTGGTGAAGTGAGTAGAAAAACAGGCCATGTATTTGGTGTTTTCATCCAATCACTGAAGGAGTGGAAGAAGCCACAGGGAAGTAGCTTTCATATTTTACTCCAGTAAAATAAGAAGGGTTTCTTGGTTTACTTCTTCATACTTTGTGCTGTCAATAAAACATGAGTCTAGGGGNCCCCTAATCCTTCTTTTAATTGAACTAGACAGAACCAATTCCCGCAACCGTTCTTTACATGTTTTAGCCTCCAGTCCCCATATCATCTATGTTGCTCTGCTCTGCACTCTTTATAGAGTCTTATATCGCGGCAACAAAAATTGGATGGTCCAAGTTGGTCTTATCAAGACATTATAAAATGGTACTAACATGCTTGTACTTTAGGATCAGATCTTCCCTCTCTTTATAAAATAAAATCAATTTTGGGGTAAATTTTAAAATGAATCCAATTATTTCCATGATCATTTCTATTTCTATGATCAGTCAGGATATGTAAGGGAAGCCTACTTTTTAATTCAAGTATTTGCTGGACTATCCTAACAAAATCCCAACAGCTGGCAAGTATAGTATTTGCAACAGAACTTGTACAGAGACCTAGGTCAATTCAGAATGTAGGCCCAACTAGATTTGAAGGCACTTGGCTCATTAGACAAAAGTTGAGAGAAAATGCACTTGGTGCTTCAACTGCCAGTTTCCTTTTCCTATCTCTAAGGGAAAATGAGCAATGCTCAAAATACGTAAGCTCAACTCAAAATATGCCAAAAGGCTTATGTACAATCAAATGCTTGGCACATCAGAAACAGTGCATAATTTTGAAAAAGACACAGATTTGGAAGTGGGTAAGTTTTCTTGTCAACAATGATGAAATAATCCAAAAATAATCACGGGACAGAGATGTATTTTATAGGTTTACAAATAGGGTTGGATCACATTTCCCCCTCTAATTTAGTTATTTTTATTCCAAGTCTCCCGCAAAGGTATGATGGAATTTGCTGCTATACAGCATCTTTTGAAGGCTGCCTATCTGTTTTCGGGGGACTAAATAGGGTTAAGAGATTAGAAAGGGACGATTTGTCGCATGGAAGAATCAGGTGCTGGACCTGAACACCAACACTTACCTAGTTAAAAACTCAACCACAGCATCTCCCAAAAATTCCAAGCGTTCGTTGTGGTTAATCCTGCAAAGGAATGCAAAGACGATTAAGAGTGATTCTTGAACCGCTAATTGACGTCGCTGATGGAAAACAGCTACCCATCACTTCTTTGGGCAATAAGCAGAGGACGTTAGCCTCCCGCAGTTTTTCTTTCGGAACGCTGGATTCCCGATGCACAACAGTGAATATCTGGGCTTCTCCTCCCCCGTACAAAAGCCACAGGCGGCCTGGAAGGTAATAAGGCAGATTATAATTTTGTGTTGACTGATTAGTAAAAGAGAGGATAATGACGTGCAGAAGCCTGCTGAGAGGGACTTCTCCGTGTGCTGTTACGCCTGTCAATGATTTAAAAGAAATGCCTCCCCCCAGGCCATCTATGGGCTCTGCCAGGCGCACAAAAAAATAAAAGCACCTCGCGGGGAGCGCGTTGTTTCAGCTATAATAGTGAGCCTGACCCTTCGTCTTCCTCGGCGTTTTTATTCTCTAGGTACAAGCAGGATTACAGCTTACGAGGGGAATACATGCTTCGCATGCAAAACATGACATATTCAATTCTTAGCATTTCTTTTCTACGGCCTGAAACTTTGGAAATAGTTGCTGGGCCCTGTAGAAAATGCAGTATTGAAATAGATGGACCCAACGGCCTGTAAGGAAGGAAGCTTCCCCTACATTTCTACATGGGTGCTTGCACAGTTCTTAGAAGCGTCCTTCCTTTTTTGAGCAAGAAGGAAATAGTCCCACCTGCAGTCAAAGAGATCAAGAGGCCTCTAATGATTATTGTTCAGGAAAGCCAAATCCTGAGAGCAGGACTGGGAGACACCCCTCCCCCCCCAAAAAAAAAAGAAAAGAAAAAGATTGCCACTGGTGATCAGAAATTCAATTATGGCAATCAGGAAAAAAATATGGTCTATGATTCATAGCAATGACATATTTTTAAACTTCTGATGTGGCTAGATAGCTAACAAGGCTATCACTTGCNAAGAAAGAAAGAAAGAAAGAAAGAAAGAAAGAAAGAAAGAAAGAAAGAAAGAAAGAAAGAAAGAAAGCCCATGATGCATTGTGGCTCTCAGTTCTTTCGTTAAATTCAGGAGTTTTAGTTTTCAGAACAATTCTGTAAGGTACTAAAAGCTTCTTTAAAAAAGAATAGAGAGAAATAAATGTTAAAAGAAATAGATAAAATTGATTCTATAAGCGCTTCACTAACCTCACTCATACATTAATTCCTGGAAAAAACTGACTTTAAAACATTTATTCATCCTCTTTGCATGTGTTTATAGAAATGATCGGATGAAAATGTAGAGTTTTAGAGACATGGCCTAGCCAGTAAATGGCCCTGAATCCAATCCCATTATATGGAGATTTATCTGGGAGTATATTTAACCTAATAAATCTATAGTGTGAACCTAAGCAAGGTTGCTCAAAAGAATGACTATATCCGAGAAGGATAAGACCTGTTTCTCGAATAATTTTACAGATTCAAGCTTCATGCGCTTAAGAGTTGGTTCGGGGGATTTATGTCAGCCGTGGAAAGTCCAAAGTAAGCACCCTTAGCTTTAGACCAAAAAAAGAAGTCCTGATGAACTTGTATCACTTCCTAGTTTTCTGTACCTCTATGTTCTTGTGCCACGATGACTGATATTTGCAGCCCAGGACTGGTAGCCTCAGAGTAACATTGTCGTGAAGCAGTGGGACTTTGGTGAGAGGAGAAATTCCCTTGCGGAGAGGAAAGAAGGACTTATGGAAAGAATTTAACTGGGAGTTTGCAGTGTGATGGGAAGATCTTTTGCAGATCTAAATTCCCTCGGGCCAGAGATGTTCTCCCTGTTTGCCTGTCTGATCTTCCTCTTCAGTAAATAGCTAGACTTTTGATTTCAGAAACGTCGTGGTGAGGATTCTGCTGAATGTGATCCACAGAAATGACATTAGAAGACCTTACATGTTCACCGTGCCAATTTTCAAGCCTCAAGGAAATAAATGAAAAAAAAAGTACTCTGTAATCCAAAATAGTACATGGCAATATGTCATGGCATTACCTAAATCAGCTGTCATTCATAATATATATTATTTTTAGGATTATTTTTTTTTAAAAAATGTCTTTCTTCTTAATAGAAACAAGACAAAACTTCCAAACTACTTCTTCAAAATAATAGTTAAAAGGCATTGATAGTGGCAGGTTTTTTTCCCCTCTCCTTTATCTGTAATGCTGCAATATTTTTAGAGCCCTCTTTAAATAAAACAACTACTTTTCCTAACGCAGCTGAGATCTGAAATTGGTTTTGAAAGCTGTTTACCTCAGGTTTTTATTTTTATTTTATACTGCCTTCTCTCACAAATAACACTTATCAAGAAAATGGCTGCTGTTTTCACTAAGCTATGAAAAGCCCATTTTATGGGGATTTTTGGAAGGGGTCATTTTTCAGTACTTTTGAAAAACATACAAAGCCAAAACAAATGATGATCATCCATTAACTGGAAGGAACTTAGTGATTATTTTAAAAAACAACAACAAAACTGTGAATATATCTATGTGACTGCCTGCTCCTAAAAAGGCAGAATATGCCAAGCTTGCCTTTATGAAGTCAGGATTAATGAATAACAGACTTTGAAAGGGAAGAAACGTTTCGAGATTTACTTGGAAACTCACTCCACGTTTGAAATTAAAGGCAGAAAGATAAAGGAGTTCTGTGACAAGAAGATGCATCCCAAAAGATGTTATCTCTTTTATTTGCTGGCTAACAACCTAGAAGCATTTTGGTGCTAAACTAGTCACCGCTCAGAACAGTTATGAGGAATTCTAAATTACATTTAATGGGACAAAAACACGAGCCTTTCACTTTACTCTAGTACACTTTTGGGTCTGAATATGGTATTAAACTTCAGAAATATCTGTGGTCTTCTCTTATTCTCCTCTACAGTAACATCCAAAAATGTAACTCAGCAATTACTCTGAAACCAACGGATGGAAGAAATCAGCCAATAAAAAGGGATAAGGCGAAAGCCCAATACTTGGAAAGCATCCCATCGGGATAATAAGTAGACTTCTTGAGTCTTCTAATGCTCTTCAGCTTTAGGCATTTCCAAAACAGACACTAATTTCCAATTGTGGGTTACGAGTTTAAGGAGACTAGAAGGGAAAGGAGATATATTTTAAGAAAAAAACAAAAACAAAAGAAATGCATGAAGACCAGGAGATAATAAATGATCTTCATATTACCTGTGTTATTCCAGTCACTAAGGAAATAACAGCAACAGACTCAGTTGGACCTGGGTACTTGAGAGACCGCCTGCTGCCAATTACCTCCCAAAGACCCGTTAGATCTCACAGGGTCGGCCTCCTCCGGGT